AAAATGGTGCTTGAAGATGTTTAGGTAGCACTGCAGGACTCTGCAAACTATGAATCTGCTGTAGAATCGAGCTTGCTGAATGGATCGACGAGAATGGTGATCCAGGGAGATGGCGAGATTGCTTCTTTGATGCAAGACCCAGCATAGCAAGCGCTGATTGGAGAACTGGGTTAGCAGTAGGGCCTGAAGGAGATAGTGATGCAGGATTCAGCAAAGTTTGGAGAATTGATCCTGACGGAGGGACCGAAGAATGTTGAAGTCCAAGGTGAGGTTGAAGTTGTAACCGAGTAGATTGGATGATACGTTGTGTTGCATGTCGGGCAGGATGTTGAGTGGCTCCTTTCTGATGATTGTAGCTATAGTTCATGATTCCTTCTCGCGGTGGTGTGATGGTGTTCCTACCGCCAGGGTGGAAGACTGAAGGTTTTCTAATACCTGGCAGGGCGAGAATGGAGTTAGTACTAGACAAGGATTTACGCCTTTCAAATGCAATGGAAGGCAAGTTTGTCTTACAATATTTTAGCCGAGGGCTGATAAAGTTATCTGGAGGAGCACGTTTCTTTGGATTTGGTTCGTAGAGAGAAGGATCTTTCTTGGTGTTGGAATAGATCAGAGAGTTTAGAACCATTGTAGTCAGTCCAAGTACTACGAGAAAGATTAGACAATACCTTGGTGATGTTGTCTGTCTTACTCAGGTCGTTGGAGGTGTTATCATACTTGTTCTGACTTTCTTGGCGGTGTAAGTACTGCGGGCACTGCTTCCCAAGATGTTTCACAACGTTAGCAGCCGTACTGTTCTGGACGGAAACTGCTGTAGAATCCCTGATGGCAGAACACGGGGTATTGCATAGTGGAAAATTTCCTGAGCTTGTCTGGGACAGAGGCTTGTCATAGTTGTTGATATGGCTGAACGGCTCAGAAGACACTGGTACCTGCATTAGGGATGCCTTTAATAGAAGAGCGTTCGGCTTACCTGTCATCTAAGACATGTGACAATTCTTGACATGGTATTTAATGTCTCTAATCATACCTGGCCAGTAGTAATCTTGTTTCAGGGGCCTTGTAGGTCATGTAGAAGGCGTATTGTGAGTGAGATCCCCGGACCAGACACAAGATATCTGATCGTAGGCTGTAGGGAACTACCAGTTGTTTGATGTTGGCCCGATCGTCGTTCACCTTCAATTTCCTGGTTCTATAATGCCGGTACAATACTTTATTTTCTACCAAGAAACCAGGGATAGCGTTAGGTTGGGTCTCAGCCTGTAAGAATGAAGATGTTAAGGAGGGATCCTCTCTCTGCAACTTACGGAACTCCAGCACTGAGATTCGGTGGGAGGCTCGGAGGATCTTGAGGAACAACTGCAGCAGCTGGTTTCGGGTGAGCAGCTGTGGTCCGCTTCGTCACCATAACAGGAGGGAAGACATCGTCAGAATCTGTTGCTTGGACCTCTTCAACCAACTGCAAAACAGGATTTTCCACTGCCGAGTCACATACCTGGGGATCTTCCTTGATGATTACATTTGCAGGTTGTTGATCTTCTGCCAAGTCGTTGCCCAGAAGAAGTTGAACTCCTGACATGGGAAAAGGCTTTTCCCGGATGACGACTTGGACTTCATCTTGCATAAACGGACAATCCAGGCAGACTCTCGCTAGTGGATATGGAGTAGTGGCAGTTAGGTCCGTGATGAGGACAATTTCTCCAGTGTAGGTAACGTTGGGTACAGCTGATTTCAGTAGAATGGACTGTAGAGCAGCTGTGTCCCTCAAGATCTTCACTTTGAACCTTTCCTCCGAATTTCCACGGCTGGCAGAGATTGTTCCAGAGTACAGGTGTCTGTTGAAGAGAGAGAGATCAGTGGAAGAAACAAAAATATTCATTACAGGCTTAGGACTCTTGTGAATTTTAAGAGGAGGAGATTTGGGCTTATTCGCACTGCTGACCTTAGTATGAGGATTGGTACACTTTTCTATGGTATGTGCAATAATTGCAATACAACGAGGAGTTCACATTACTGGTACTCACTTTTTCAGGACTAAACCAGGAGGTCTTACTAGATGGCGGGTCAGCTGGTACTCTATGAATAAGACTGTACGAGTCAGCCAATTGAGCACATCAGGTAAAGTCGTTTTCTTCCTTGTCGGCGAGGTAGAGACGTATTGGATTAAGAACACGCCTAAGGAATTCTTCCACCAGGATGAGGTTGACGAGATGTGTAAAGGTGGAGACTTTTGCAGCTTCCAGCCACTTCATAAAATATCTTTTTGTTATTTGCAAACTCTAGATAAGTGGTAGCACTTGCTTTAAGGTAATCCCTGAACTATCGTCTGTAGGTCTCGGTGACAGGAGGTAGGCATCGAGCACTGCTTGCTTCAGTACCTGGTAGTCAGTTTCAGACGCTATAGTAGTGAGAGTCACTGCAGCTCTACCTGTTAAATGAGTCCTGAGAAAACAGACCACTGATCCTGAGGCCAGCCGAGTTGGGTAGCTAGAGCCTCAAATGAAGTGAAAAGGACATCTACTTCTGCCTCAACAAATGATGGCATTAACTTAATTGCATGTGAAAGGTTAAAACTACCGGAAGTTTAGCTTCAGCTTGTTGGCGCCGAGTGTGGTGTGTAGTTTCCAAGTCTAGTTCTTTTCTATGGTGGTCTACAGCACTATCGGCTTGCTTCTTATTGTGTTCACGTTGTATCTCCAGATCGTGTTCTTTTAATTCAAGCTGTTCCCACTCACGCTCACGTTTTAGGGCAGCTTGTTTTTCAGCGAGCTGAAGAGTTTCCCTCTTACGCTCAGCTTGTTTTTCAGCGAGCTTAAGTTGAAGTTTGGTTTCCCGTTCCTTCCTTTGGAGAGCTTCCTTTTCAAAGGCATCTTGTTCTTTCAGACGTTCACGTTCGGCGTTGGCGAGTTCTAGCTTCAATTTTATTGCTGCCAAGGCGTTCTTGTCTGCAATTAAGTAATGTTCATGAGATTCAGGAGTAATAGCATCATTGTCTAATAAGTGGTCCAAGATGAGGTTATGCAAATCAGTTTTAGTGGCTCCATGTGGGGCTGTAAGGTGGTTCTCATTTACTAGAGTCAGCATCTCCGCCTTGATGGCACGAACTAGTGTGCTCACTTCATCGTTTGGATTCTGTCTAAATGTGGAAAGACGAAACATGGTGAATGATAGCAAATATATGCAAGAGAATACTCAGGTGGATGTACCAAAATATGAAATGTCAGAGACAGGATGACATGGCAACGGTAAACTATCCTGTTAAACTCAATAGTCAAGGTTACAATTAAGATAAAAAATGAAACTAAGCATTTCAAGGAAGTAGGGAATCTTGTACCCGGTACTCTATATGACGAGGATAAGGGCAAGAGGGATCCTACTTGAATGTTGAGCCGACTGTCTCGAAGGTAGTCCAAAAAGTGTAGGGGTCCCAACCTTACAGCATAGTCCGTGTGAGAGGAACTTTGGCCCTCTATATCCTCCTACATTCAGGTTGCAAAGATGTGGATGGACTTGACCCGAAGACAGACCAAAGTACCAGGGTACCAAAGGGGGTGATCTGTCTGAATGAGAACTCTCCTGTAGGGACGAGAATAAGCTGGAAACACAGGATATAGCAAAGATTATGGAACAACCAATCACGAGTATGACCGTGGCCACAAGACACCACGTAATCCAAAGTCATCCAACAATCATAAAATGCTACATCTCGAAAGCAAACAGTATGAAGCACCATTAAAATTAGTCAAAGAATAAGAGTTCTGAAAAATTAAATTTGTAATAAAGCCAAGTACAGTTACCACAACTTTAAGTGAAGGGTCTAGAAGCATTACCCGAGTGAGGCTCCTAGGGCAGGCCCCCAATTTGTGATGGTAAACGTTGGTGGTCGTGCAGTCTGTAATGCCAGTCACAAAATATTAAAAAAAAAAAAAAAAGTTAAACTGCAAAAGGTGTCTTCACAGTGTGATAAACTGTAGGATAAAGCAGAGGGAAAAAAACATTTAAAAATACTTTACTTTAAAAATAAATTAAACAAATTACAAAAAATATCCAGGCTTGGCTTTAATACAAAATATGCAAAACAAACAAGATGAATAATCAAATTTACGTTACGTTAAGGTGCAAAATAAAATATGGTGCGGAATACTGTGAGCTAGTCTGACTAAATCTGTTACCACACCGAGATGTGTCAACAGGTCTACTCAGCAAGAGCACTCAGGAGTAATCTGAATCTTGGAGAGCTTGGTAGCCCTATTTATACAGAATATCGGCCGGGCAGATGGCGCTGATGTCTTCTTTAACTAGGAACCAGCTCACTTGAAGTGCTTGTTTGCGAAGGCGTGGCCTCCCAGCGACCCAGGTGCAAGGTGGGGTGACGGGCTGTGAAGGGAGGAGACTGGTGGTATTGTCTAGATGTCTGGCAGTAGTTGTTGTTGTTCTTGGCTGCAGTTCTTTATTACATAGACGTGAATGAGTAGAATAGACGATAATGGAGTAGGCCGAATCTCTTCCTAGAGATTTTACCGTGACATAATAATAACAAAATGAGAGCCTTTCTCGTTTTGTGATTTGAACCAAAAATCATCGAACTTTTCCATATTTTTTTTCGTTTTGCAGTTTTTGTAAGAGATCATGAATAAGTGCCATGTGTACATGGTTGTTGTGGATACTAGCATAGTGTGTGTTGGTGCTGGTTCCCCGTGATGTTGGCGTGTGTTAGTGGTGGGGCGTTAATGGCTGTCAGTTCTCAATATCTTTGGCTTCATTCTTTCATATACAGCTCTCTCGCCCTCAGCTTTCCTGAGCTTAGGGCTCCTAACTTCCCCAAATGAGTTATAATGATATATTGCTTTAAGTGCATGTGTTGTTGATGCCCTTTTGGGCCTGAGTGTGAGACAGATGGAACCCATATTCCTGTTATAAATCAACATTCTGAGAATATTATTGCAATTCCGAACGTATGTTTGATTGAGAAATCTAATAAGACTTATATCTTGGTGCAGGTGAAGACAACTGGTGTTGATCACTGACCAACACCAGCTGGGAAGCCACCAAGTGGGCGTCACGCAGCAGGATACACACGCACCCTTCTCCACACCAGCAACCTATCGTGGTAACCCCCTGGTGCCAGTTACCACACCGGGCATCTCCAGGTACCCCTCCTGGTGCCAGTTACCACACCAGGCATCTCCAGGTAACCCCCCTGGTGCCAGTTACCACACCGGGCATCTCCAGGTACCCCTCCTGGTGCCAGTTACCACACCGGGCATCTCCAGGTACCCCTCCTGGTGCCAGTTACCACACCGGGCATCTCCAGGAACCCCCCTGGTGCCAGTTACCACACCGGGCATCTCCAGGTACCCCTCCTGGTGCCAGTTACCACACCGGGCATCTCCAGGAACCCCCCTGGTGCCAGTTACCACACCGGGCATCTCCAAGTCACACTCTTACCCTTCGGCCACTTATTAAAAACCCTCAAAATTACAAGCTGTCGAATTAGTGAACACTTCACTCCTGCAGCACGCTTAAACAAATTATTTCGTCACTGATTTTTTTTAATTAACCAACAATAATATGAGTATCGCAACACTCCTCTGAGAACTAAAGGGTGAGATCATTGCGAGCATGGCGGAGGATGGAGGCCTGAGGCGAGCGGCCGGCCAGGCCCTCCTCATGATAAGGGGAAGGATCCTGCAGGAACTACAGTACACACGAGGCTCTGGCCAAGAATCGCGAGGTGGCATCAAGAATGTAGAACAATATGTCGGTGGGGAAGAGAAAGAAAAGTTACATGGGGACGCAATATGTTGTGAAGAAATTATGGAAAACAAGACATTGGGTGCGAATAAGACCACGAGCAGCAAACTAGCAGATGTTAAGTGTAGTGAAAAGGGTGTTTCAACCGCCGAGAAACTAGCGAGGGTGGAGGAGAGAGTGTTGCCTGGTGGTGTGGAGGTAGGTGTAGTGGGCAGGTGGGCGAGTGAGACGCTGGCGAGGCTCCTGCAGGTGGTAGCCTCGTCCTCAGTGGCAGCGTCCCCCGGGTCTTCTCCTCCAGCTGATGATCACATCCTCGCCAACGCTCTTCTGGATTACTCCTGGCAGAAGCTCAATACAGGTAATCCAATTGTTTTTATTATTAAGATAATCTAAGGACAACTTTGTATTGTTAGGAGGAATAATTTACAAAACTCTTGCCCAGAATATTTCAGAAAACTCTTGCTCAGAATAATTCTGAACTCTTGCTCAGAATAATTCAGAAAACTCTTGCTCAGAATAATTCAGAAAACTCTTGCTCAGAATAATTTAAAAAAACACCGAATTACATCACTAACGATATTTAAAAAGTATAAAAATGATTTCTTATGATTTTTTAGAGAAAGTTGCAGGATGTTCGAGAAAAGTATTATCCAAAAATTTTGGTAGTAATAATTTGGCTATGTTGAGCCGAGGTGGGTAAACTTATCCACCTGCATCCACGCAAACAATATTTAAAATAAAAAAAAATCTGTTATGGAGAATAATGTAGATTTTGTTCTCCCTCCCCCCCACCCCACCCTAAAAAAAAAAGGAATTCAAAACATAATCTTTATATAGAAAACTATAGAAAATCATGAAATTTGTGGGAAAATAATGCACAAATTCTTATTACCATATATTGTGTATGTCAAGATGACGAAGACAAATTTACCAGTTTCCTTATTTTGGATGTGGGGAAAGTTGAGCAGATGCATGGTGGGTGTCGTGCTCAGTCACATTCGGTAGGTACATGTACAAAAGGTTTGACCATATAAATATATACATATATTACAAATAGTAGAGACAACAAGGAATAAAGACGGTAAATCACAAATAGGGGAGCAGACCTCTACACCACAAACCCAACATGGAGGTATGTGACAACTGCTTTAAAACACTTCAGACGAGTATTGTAGGGATTGTATGTAACATTTGTAACACAAGATTTCACTTGAGTTGTACGAAATTACCTACACACTATGCAAAAAAAAAAAAAGGTACCTACTGGATGTCACATTGATAGACTGTTATGGGAAAACATCGCTAAATTAATGTATAACATTCCTGAAGCATATAGGCTACCATTCACAGAAAAAACTACCAGAAATGTATGCAGATTATGTAAAAATAACAATGAATACGGAACACAACCCAGGGATTGATAGTTTAGAGAGGCAAATTAGCAGTGTGGAAGGACATTGTGTCGAGGTATGTAAAAACGATGGCAATATTGAAGAGCCAACCGGTAATATGAATAATGAGAGCAAAAAATGAGAATGATGAGAACAAAACAAAGAGGAGAGCAATACTGAGAAGGAATGCGGAAATGAAAAAATAGCAAAAAACACAAGACAACCCCAAAACCGAGATGGCCAAGGCATGCACAGGTATAAACAACCTGAATAAAATCACAAATTAATATATTTGGAAATATTATGCAAAGGGAATGTCCAGATATGGGTCCAAAGGCATAGAATACACATTCATGCATCCCTGAAAATGCCGAAACATATTAGGTAGAGGCAAATGTCGTTTTGGAACAAATTGCAAATATTTCCACCCTGAACTATGCAAACTCAATTAAAGAGAGAAAATGCTATGATTTTTAATGCCCTGATTTCCACATGAGAGGTACACACCGCTATAAAAGAGAGGAAGTCCAATATAGTAACCCTGGAAGTTTTTTAGAGGCAGGCAGAAACAGAGACAGGAACAGACAGGCAGAAACGTTGCAGGAGTACGGATGGGGAGGGAGAAATTCCGAAGACAGGATTTAAATTTGTCATCAAACGCGCACATTCTACACCGCCCCAACTCCACACATACTACCACACTCCCCAGTACCACTACCAAAACTGGACGAACTATTGCCAAAACAGCACACCCTGGTTCAGGGTGGAGAGGAGGGAGAACACACACTTTTGGAACTTCCAAAAGCCTTCAGAAGTGACACACAATATGGAAAATCATTAATATTTGCAAACATACAAGGCCTAAAGTCAAAATCAAGAAATATAGTTAAGTTTATAAATGGCCTTCTAGTAGAGTTAAGCTCAGCATTTGGGGCAGTCACGGAAACTCAAACGAAAGATTACACGGAGAGTGAAATCTGGATTCCAAATTATAATTTATATAGATGTGATAGAGAAACTAGGTCAAATGGAAGAGTAGGTCTGTATATTAAAGAGGAACTGGTATGCACAGAGCTACTAAGCTCGACCAATGAGGTGGAAGAGGTACTTTGAATCAAGGTAGAAAAATAAACCCAATTATTATTCTAATATATATAAACCGCCAGTTACAACGGTTGAGAAATTCACAGAGCAGATTCACAAAATAGAGAACATCCTTGATAATCCAGCAAACCCATTTTGCTAGGGGTCTACTTCCCAAGGTTGTGAATCGTGGATTGTCAGGACGTCAGTAGTTCCTTTGTCACAGAATCGCGAGAAGTATATTGTGCGAGCACGTGTGTATTCTTAAGGTAGGCTGGTACGTGTTAGCGTCTCAACTGCCATGTGCACAATGGCCTGGACGCCGCGGCTGGGGACGCTTCCACTATCACGGTTCAAATTTCTATATTTTCGACTTACAGAAAATCCGAGCTTCATTCTCTATCAATTAATTACGTTCAGTCATAGAGAATACTTTTTTGTGGTAATTAAACTCTAGACTGAAAGTTTTAGTTATTCACAAGAGTAAATAACACACGTAAATCGTGAATTTGCTTACGCATCAACATCCCATTCTCTCTGGCATGTTGCTAAATTCGTTCTCTGTGAAAAGTTAGTAAATTAGTAATGTTAATATATTCCTGAGATAACCGTTTTAACTTGGTACGCTAGGGGTTAGTAAATTAAGTGTCGAAATTTCTGACACGTTCAAATCCAGAGACCCCTCAGCAATGCTAATGCTATTTAAATCACTGGTGCTTTCCCGTCATGAGTATTGATCGGTACTCACTTTCCCTTTCAGAGCGAGAGAGATCTCCGAATTATAGGGAATACAGAGAACATATACGGCACGCATAGAAACGATTAAACATCTAAATTATTGGGACCGTCTCAAAGCTCTCATCATGTACTTTTTGAAAAGGAGACGAGAGGCGTATCTAATAATATATACATGGAAGATACTTGAAGGCCAGGTCCCAAATTTGCACAGTAGAATAACAACATACTGGAACGAAAAATACGGAAGGAAATGCAGAACCAGTGAAGAGTAGAGATGCCATAGGCACAATCGGAGAACACTGTCTGATCATCAGAGGGCCACAGCTGTTCAACACCCTCCCAGCAAGCATTAGAAATGTTGCTGAAACGAAGGTGGATGTATTCAAGAGGCATTTAGATAAGTTCTTGCAAGAGGTACCGGACCAACCAGGCTGTAGTGGATATGTGGGCCTGCGGGCCGTACCAAACTTCAGCCTGTTGGACCAAGTTATCACAAGTCGAGCCTGGCCCTGGGCCAGGCTCGTGGAGTAGAAGAATTCCCAGAACACTCTCCAGGTGTCCAGGGTGCACATTGTCATGTGAGCACTGAGGGTGTGGGTAACTTTTCACATGACTATTAGTTTACCAGAGACCTCCGGCAACTAGAGGCAACAACCATTCCTCAGCTGACTTCTATTTACCTTACCCAGATGTGAAAGCCCCATGAGATGGTAGGCACAGCATGAGCTTAATTGATATGTCATGTTCAAAGTTGCGAGTTTCAATGCAAAAATCTGTTCAACAATAGCTTACTGAGCAACTATTTATGGATAAATCTCTCAGGGGTACATACCGCTGCTATCAAAGCATCATGATCACTAGTAACCCTCCAGGTTCACCAGAGGTTTCAGCCTATCTAACACAGCTGTGTAGTTTTATTTCCCCATTTTCGGGCACTGGAAGCCTATAAAGTTTATCGAGGCCCACCTAGGGTAGCTATTGACCATACCCAAGATGCAACCCACAACAGTCGTCTAACTCCCTGGTATTTATTTACTGCTAGGTAAACAGAGGCATTTTATATAAGGAAATGCGCTCAAACATTTTACAATGCCCAGGAATCTAATTCAGGTTAAATCAGTTGTGAGCCGACAACACTAATCACTGCTGCAGGTTTGTGTAACTAACTAATGGTTGTTATGAGGTTTCGTATTACCATTTGAAAAAATTGTGTTCTATTATTGTTTAGAAAAAATGTATGTAGTTTGCTGCTAAATATACATATAGGCGTCCCAATTAATAGCAATGTGAAGCAGGATAAGAAAACACAATTAGGATTTAGAAATATAAACTCTTAGTACAGTGGGTCTGGAAGAGTCAAAGTCTCAGGATAAGAGGATTAAACACCTAGAGGAGTTTAATAAGGGGTTTAAATTCCCATAAGTTAAATGCTGAGAATGTAGGGAGAACTAATATTTGGGTGGCACTACAAGATGTCCTGATGGTGACTGCTTCCCGAGTGTGGGTTGGGTAAGCCTGGGTGCATATGTATACTTATGCAAACTTTGACGAAATGTTTCTATAATGAAATTTTCTCCTGAAGGTCACTGGAAAGATGTTGATCTTTCTTGGAGGTGGGTGTTCACCTGGGGCAGTTTAGCATTGGTGGGCCTCCTCTTGCTGCGTCTCCAAGTTGCGTCTGGTGCTCATTCAGCCTCACACACCAGTGCCTACCTGGCAGCAGCTGATGTGGTGCGGGCATGTGACCGCGGACTGCTGATGGGCGCTCCTGTCGACGACAACCCTCTCCATTCCACAGCTGCCGCTCTAAATACTTACGCTCGGCTGGCGAGGGCTGGAGCAGCTGAAGACGAAGGTGAAGATGGTGCCTCCATCACTCAACAGGATGCCGCCAGCGTGACAAGTCCGCTCCCTTCGGTTCACTGTCCACCTCTGGACAGATTCTTGCTGCACTACATGACCGCTGGAGTGCCCGTTAAGCTGCTTGGTGTTGTCGACCACTGGCCTGCCCTCAACTTGTGGAATATACCTTATCTTCGACAAATCGCTGGGGCGCGCATTGTGCCCGTAGAGGTGGGTGCTCGCTACACCGACCTCACTTGGTCCCAAGCACTAATGACCCTAGACGACTACCTTACAACATATGTGACGCACCACACTCCCAGCACTCCGATCGGCTACCTTGCCCAGCACCAGCTGCTGGACCAGGTGCCACAGCTGCAAGACGACATCTTGGTGCCTGACTATTGCCATCTGGGCGAGGACCCTCCCCGCCTGCACGCCTGGCTGGGGCCACGGGGCACTGTCAGTCCACTACACCATGACCCAGACCACAACATTCTTGTTCAGGTTAGTTAACAACATGATAATTCTCATCTGCAGTGGTATCAGCAGGTCTGAAGCAGCTGGCGATGACACTTGACAAATAAATTATATCTATTCAGCAAGTCTGACTTTCCGAGCATCATGCAGTGTTTATTTTGGCAAATAATATCTTTAACGAAGTTAGTAAATATACAGACGCTACATTATTACTTCATTTAACTACACCGATGCTGGTTATCTCTCTCGTGACTAACTTTGACTATGCTGGTAGTGGATACATATTATATATATATATATATATATATATATATATATATATATATATATATATATATATATATATATATATATATATATATGTCGTACCTATTAGCCAGAACGCACTTCTCAGCCTACTATGCAAGGTCCGATTTGTCTAATAGGCCGAGTGATTTTCTTTATTTTCAATAAATTGTTTCCAATTAGTTTTTTAAATTATTATTATTATATTATATTAAGGACATAAATTATTGACTTAATTGTGTTTAGGTTAGGTTAAGATTAGGTAGGGTTGGTTAGGTTCCGTCATATATCTACGTTAGTTTTAACTCATAGATATTCTACACACCAACATAGAGGTTCCCCACACCAACATAGATGTTGCACTCACCAACATAGAGGTTCCACTCACCAACATAGAGGTTCCATACACCAACATAGATGTTCCAGACACCAACATAGAGGTTCCACACACTAGCACGACAGGTAAGATGTGATAATCGTCTCTGTTTTGACAGGTGATGGGTTATAAGTACATTCGCTTGTACGGGGAGGAGCAGAGTGGCCTGGTGTACCCTCACGCGGACCCCTTGCTGGCCAACACCTCCCAGGCCGACGTGGAGGGCCCCCTGGAGGAGTGGCCACTCCTGCAGCGGGCCCAGTACCATGACCTGGTGCTGGGTCCCGGCGAGGCTCTGTACATCCCACCTCGCTGTTGGCACTACGTCAGGTCGCTCTCTACCTCCTTCTCCGTCTCCTTCTGGTGGACCTGAGAGGCCTGACCTGCTGCTGACAAGATGAAACAGGTGTTATTAAGTCTCGTGTCCTTGTTGATGATGATGATGCTTGTATTCACATGTTGACTTATATGGTGTCATTTAGTTGCATGTAATTCTCAATAAAATTTGAACATGCCTCAGTTTTTTATCATTATTAAGTCATATGAGACACGGTAGTGTTGTACGGTGTTTCCTTAAAAATAAATTTTAAAAATTAGTTTTGGGTAGGTTATGGACTTGCAATGATAACGAGCCACATTTTTTGTGCGTGTATTGGATACCAGTTTTATCAGGCGATTTGTATGTGCTGTTATCTCTCCCTCCCTCACCATGGGACCACTGATAACGTCTGCTCTCTCTTCATGAGCCAGCTAGTGACTCCCATTCCCTGTATGGGATGGATAGTAACTCCCCTTTCTCCTAGATGGTCCCGGCTAGTACCTCGTCCTCCCTCTTACCTTACCAGCAGTAGCTGGTAAGTCTTCCCTTTACATAGGCAGCGTGGTAATACCCTTCCTCTAAATGGCCCAAATTGTAATTACCATTTACCATCCACCAGGTGATGGTAGGTGGCAAGTTCCGCTCCCTTTATCAGGGGGAGGTGCTCGTCTCGCGGGCACCTCCCCCCGGGACGGGGGTTGTGCCCCCCCCCCCCGTTTGTTCTTTTGTTCAAAATCGCTGTTTCAAAATAGGCTTTTCATGTGATGGAAATCTTCAAAAAATTTTACCGATTGTTTTGAAATTTTGACACAGCGTTGCATTCGAAAAGGAGCATGTTTTTATGTATCTACTATATACATGCCTCACCTGTGACAGGATTTTTTTTTTAAATAGTGCCATCTGTTGGACGTAAGTTCCGAGCATCATGCAGTGTTTATTTTGGCAAATAATATCTTTAACGAAGTTAGTAAATATACAGACGCTACATTATTACTTCATTTAACTACACCGATGCTGGTTATCTCTCTCGTGACTAACTTTGACTATGCTGGTAGTGGATACATATATATATATATATATATATATATATATATATATATATATATATATATATATATATATATATATATATATATATGTCGTACCTATTAGCCAGAACGCACTTCTCAGCCTACTATGCAAGGTCCGATTTGTCTAATAGCCCGAGTGATTTTCTTTATTTTCAATAAATTGTTTCCAATTAGTTTTTTAAATTATTATTATTATATTATATTAAGGACATAAATTATTGACTTAATTGTGTTTAGGTTAGGTTAAGATTAGGTAGGGTTGGTTAGGTTCCGTCATATATCTACGTTAGTTTTAACTCATAGATATTCTACACACCAACATAGAGGTTCCCCACACCAACATAGATGTTGCACTCACCAACATAGAGGTTCCACTCACCAACATAGAGGTTCCATACACCAACATAGATGTTCCAGACACCAACATAGAGGTTCCACACACTAGCACGACAGGTAAGATGTGATAATCGTCTCTGTTTTGACAGGTGATGGGTTATAAGTACATTCGCTTGTACGGGGAGGAGCAGAGTGGCCTGGTGTACCCTCACGCGGACCCCTTGCTGGCCAACACCTCCCAGGCCGACGTGGAGGGCCCCCTGGAGGAGTGGCCACTCCTGCAGCGGGCCCAGTACCATGACCTGGTGCTGGGTCCCGGCGAGGCTCTGTACATCCCACCTCGCTGTTGGCACTACGTCAGGTCGCTCTCTACCTCCTTCTCCGTCTCCTTCTGGTGGACCTGAGAGGCCTGACCTGCTGCTGACAAGATGAAACAGGTGTTATTAAGTCTCGTGTCCTTGTTGATGATGATGATGCTTGTATTCACATGTTGACTTATATGGTGTCATTTAGTTGCATGTAATTCTCAATAAAATTTGAACATGCCTCAGTTTTTTTATCATTATTAAGTCATATGAGACACGGTAGTGTTGTACGGTGTTTCCTTAAAAATAAATTTAAAAAATTAGTTTTGGGTAGGTTATGGACTTGCAATGATAACGAGCCACATTTTTTGTGCGTGTATTGGATACCAGTTTTATCAGGCGATTTGTATGTGCTGTTATCTCTCCCTCCCTCACCATGGGACCACTGATAACGTCTGCTCTCTCTTCATGAGCCAGCTAGTGACTCCCATTCCCTGTATGGGATGGATAGTAACTCCCCTTTCTCCTAGATGGTCCCGGCTAGTACCTCGTCCTCCCTCTTACCTTACCAGCAGTAGCTGGTAAGTCTTCCCTTTACATAGGCAGCGTGGTAATACCCTTCCTCTAAATGGCCCAAATTGTAATTACCATTTACCATCCACCAGGTGATGGTAGGTGGCAAGTTCCGCTCCCTTATCAGGGGGAGGTGCTCGTCTCGCGGGCACCTCCCCCCGGACGGGGGGTTGTGCCCCCCCCCCGTTTGTTCTTTTGTTCAAAATCGCTGTTTCAAAATAGCTTTTCATGTAATGGAAATCTTCGAAACCTCTTTACCGATTGTTTTGAAATTTTGACACAACGTTACATTTGAATAGGCGCGTGTTTTTATATACCTACTATATACATGCCTCACCTGTGACAGGAAAAAAAACATGCTAGGTTTGAAAAACAGCGCCATCTGTTGGACGTAAGAGCAACATACGCTGTTATCTACTAAAGTTCTTCACCAATTGCTTTAAAATTTTGACACAACGTTCCAATCGAATACACGCATGTTTTTATAAATCTACTATATAGCTGCCACACCTGTGACAGGTAAAAACATGTTTTTTTTTTTTTAAACAGCACCATCTGTTGCACATAAGAGCAACCCATGCTATACTAAATATGTTAAGATTTCATTTCAATGTTTCTGATTGCACTGGTAAAGTTAATTTTCATAGATTTCGATTTATTTTCATTCTGATTTCATTATTTTGTGTGACATTGTGTTGGAATAGAACTGTGTAGTTTACCATAGCGTTCATTTCGTGAGTATTGTTTATTTTTATTTTTATTTTTTATCATTTCGTTTCTTTAACTGTTCTTTTTTTTCAGTGATGGGAACATCAGATCATTTGATGTTCCCAATTTTCTGATGGGAGTACCAGATCATTTGGAAATGCATCGGACAAGGGAATAGGGAATGGTGGGGAGGACGAAGGAACGGGAGTGAGGGATGGTGGGGAGGACGAGGGGACAGGGAAAGGGGTAATGGTGGGGAGGACGAACGAATAGGGGAGTTGGGGATGGTGGGGATGAGGGATGAGGGGATTGGAGAATGGCGGAGAGGACAAGGGGACAGGGGAGGGGGGAATGGTAGTGAGGATGATGGACGGGGGTGTGGGAGATAGTGGGGAGGACGAGGGAACAGTGGAATGGGGAATGGTGGAGAGGACGAGGGGATGGTGGGGAGGACAAAGGACAGGGGAGTGAGGAATGGTTGGGAGGACGAGGGGACCGGGGGAATGGTGGAAGGACGTGGAGACAGGGATAGGTTGCTGTGTCCATGCGTTGCTGAGCCACAGCAACGCGTGGCCGGGTACAGACTAGGACCTAAAGGTCAGGGTGGGAGTGTGGTGAATGGTGGAAGGACGGGGAGACAGGGTGTGTGTGTCCATGCGTTGTGTGTGGCCGGGTGCTGTGTGTGTGTGTGTGTGTGTGTGTGTGTGTGTGTGTGTGTGTGTATATGTATATATATATATGTATATATATTATATATATATGTGTTTTAAATCCTTCTCATAATTTTAGCATCGTCCGCAAACATTGAGAGAAATGAATCGATACCCTCCGGGAGATCATTTACATATATCAGAACAAGATAGGACCGAGTACAGAGCCCTGTGGGACTCCACTGGTGACTTCACGCCAATATATATATATATATATATATATATATATATATATATATATATATATAATATATGACCGAAAAAGTTAGATTAATAATTCTAACACGAATTTTCTCAATATTTCTTATGTTTCTCTTCACTGTTGATGGTAATTGAAATATCAATTCTCCAAAATTCATTTTTATTTATGGTCTGACGCCTGGATGCATTTTGTAATTCTTATTACATTTGGTAAACAGATCGAAACTGTGAACGCCAAGACTCCACCTGCCAAAGGTTATTGGGGAATATAAACCTGGGTATGCGTATGGAAATGTCAAGACCCACAATCCTGGAAACCTAAACCCACTTCAGCCAATCATCAGCCAGATACCCACACCCACATTCAGACTGGCTAAGCGACTCAATGGCTTGTTGACTCCTCATGTACCTTGTGCTTTCATCCTGAAGTTTCCAAAGGAATTTGTTGACTTACTGTGGGGAGCACTGGCCACAAGGATAAGAGCCTCATTGGATGTAGAGTCACTGTTTACCGACGTAGCTGTAGATGAAACAATCAGGATGATAGCAGACAGAGTGTATCGTGATCCGACTTGCACTCCTCTTGACCTACCAGAAAAATATACTAAGGAAACTTCTCCAAGTCTGCACTAAAGAGGCACCCTTCTTGAGCCCAAATGGGCACATGTATAAGCAAGTAGATGGGGTCGCCATGGGTTCTTCTCTAGGTGTCCTCTTTGTGAACTTCTTCATGAGTACCATTGAGCAGAGGGTCTTAGTTGACATGGACTTGAAACCCGCCATATACTGCAGGTATGTTGACGATATTTTTACGCAAGTACCTGATGCCAGACGTCTGCAGCAGCTGAAGGAGGCATTTGAGTGGAATTCTGTGCTGAGTTTCTCTTACAAGATGGAGAATGATGGGAAGCTGCCCTTTCTAGGTGTAACTATCATGGAAAGGAGCGGAGGCTTCCACACTGCAGTGTACACTAAGGAAATAAACATAGGAATGCGCCTCAATGCCAATAGTGACTGCCCAGACAGGTACAAGAGGAGTCTTGTCAATGCTTACGTCGACTGGGCTCTCAGTCACAGCTCAGGATGGAAGCAAGTCAATGAAGAACACTGTAGGGTAAGGCAGGTCCTAGTCAACAACGGCTTCTCTAACGGTTTTGTTGAAGACATCAGAAAAAATAGGTGAAACGCCATGCAACCTCTGAAGAGTCAACCAACAGCAACACTTGTACCCCCTATTAGACTATTTTTACAGGAACTTCTTTTCGACGGCTCATAAAATGGAGGAAAGGGTCCTGAAGAGATATTCTGATGGAACGTTATCCCTACAGACAAAAATCAGAAAATACAAGTGACAATTTACTATAAAACCAAAGAAACGGCCAACCAACTCATGAAAAACTCCCCAGACACCAAACAGAACACCTTGAAGGAGTCCAACATCGTCTATGCCTTCAAATGCCCACTTGGGGACTGTAAGCCCCAAAGAACTCAGGATATAGGCAAGATAATAATGTCTCTTTCCGGGCGATTAACAATGCAAAAACAACAGGGCTCCATCAAGGAACATATAATTTCTTCTCACAACCAGACCATCACCAGAAAAATTTCTATTGGGGAGTGTTGTACATGCTGCTATGGCGGTATGTCCACTCACAAAATGTGTGGCGCTGCCCAATAAACTCGCCCCTCGGGGCAAAAATTTAAAAAATTAAATTAACCAGAGAAATCTTAA